TATATTTATATATATAGATAGATATTAATATGTATATATATAATGGTATTAAATGTAGAATTGATCAATCATTATTATACAAAAATTATGCATATGTTTTCATCATTTATGGTCACGATATCGATCTTTTCTTGGCAATATGAATCACGGTCCAATGTATCCAATATCTAGAATCTAATATTGCAGGATTCCCCTCCAATTCCATGGTGTTCAATCCATATATTACCTGCTTGGACGACTAATCATAATCTTGTGATCTACAATATCTGCCTCCAAGCAGGGAAATTGAAACGGAGAGACCCATGCAAAACAGGAGATCGGTCACACAACATTCATCACCAGGGCTGGTTTGGCCAAGCTACCCCAAATCGCTTTGCTCATGGAAAGCCAACGGCCGACACATTGGCCAAACGGGCCAGTTCAGTGCGAAGCACGGTCTGGTGCGTCTTGCACCGACCGTGCCAGAAACCAACCACCGGCTGGGTCATCGGAAGATCGCGGACTCGAAAGCTGGGAAAGGGCTCGCCTTCGCTGCTTCAGGCTTCCGAGGGCCCGCGCCTTCTATCAGGAGCATCTCAGACCATAAAGAAACACCAACACACTCTTCATCAGTCAAAGTACGAGTCTTTTGACGCCGAGGCGAACTTTGTAACCCCACAAATCAAGATGCCATTTTTGGAATGCTGAAGTGGAATCGTCTGGACCGGCTTGACCTACATTGACCTACATACTCTCTCTTGATCGAAGCGCATGCATTCTTTTCGCGACTGAAGCGTGTGTTGAGCTCTGCTGAGATTCCAATCGATCCTCTTGGCATTGGCAACGTTCGCGCTCCACACGGAAAGCAACGTGGAGCGCGGAGCGAATTTCAGCTCTACAGTTGGGAGGTCATAAGTCACCGGTCATGTCCACTTCCAGCACTGAAGACTCCTGAAAAGTAGGAAGGTGTCCCAGGGTCCAAGCCAATTGGTCCAGGCACATCCTAGACTTTCGCACTGCACGTCTTGGAACAAGTCCATGTGATTTGTGTGATATGCCCATGTCCTGTGATGTCGTTTATTGTTTTGGCAGTCATTTATTCGGTGGCTTCAGGAGTCATTCTTCCATACATGGAGTGTCTAGTGCGCGAATCATCCTGAGCCAGGGAGGTCGAACCCTGCCAGCCCAACACGGGGTCTAAGGGTGTGAACGTCGTTCACTACGAGGTCGCCAATAACATGTCCAGTCTTCATCTCGGCATCATTAGCACCTGCAAGTCGAACTGCTGGGAAAAGGACACGCATCGACACATGGTCTTTTTGGGATGATTTGGGGGGTGGAGCTTACGGCCTTTGTTCGACTCATCCGATTCAAACAACACCGCCGTTGATTGATTTTTCCTGTATATTATATATACATATTTGCCAGCATTCGGATGATGTGAGAAAGCTTTTAGGATATTCCATCCCTGCATTGTCTTGGTTTGGAATACCAGAAAGATCCCCCAAACATGCAGCGCCAGCCGGCTTTGAAGGCTCTGCAACCTTAGTTTCAACCGGACTCACACGAATCCAACGACCCAAAGCAGCACGAACCAGCGCGAACCGTCAGGCCCACTTGGGCCCCCACAACCCCTCCTCCCGCTGTGGTGAAAACCCACACACAAAGCCGACAGGGGGCCACCAAAACAAGCATCCCGTCCTTGCTGCTGAGCTGGCTGGTGAGATCGACTTCCACTTGGTCGGAGAAGCTGGTCTTGGAACGCGCGAAGCGTCCGGGCGCCATTCCCAGCGTATTCGTGCGGCGGAGTGCCGGCATCCCCAGGCCGCCCAAAGGCTCTGGCGTGAAGCTGGCCTTGGAAAACAGCCAGAAGACGCGTCAATCCGTTTTGGGGTGGTGCCGCATGCTGGTGCCTAACATCATGCAATGCAAAAAAGTTAACCAAGAAGTCCATCTATACATATATACACAGTATAATTCTATTCCTATTCCTATTGCTGCATGCTTTTGAAGAGTGAGCTGCACTTGGAACTTGGAGCAGCTTGAAGTCTCGAAGATTCCAAAACCTGTAGCATCGACAAACAGATGTAGACGTGTACAAGAGTTTAGGCGGCCAGTTTGGTAGCACATACGCTTGTACACAACCGGGGCTCCCCTCCATGAACCTACCAGCTAACAGGCCCCCCCAAAGATTCCCAAACCAAATTGAAGTGGTCTTCCACACGTTGCCTCTGAGTGTCCAATATATCAATGGCAAGGAGACCTCCTGGACTTTGAAAGTGCCCTGCTTGGAACCCTAAACCCTACACAGGCTGTGGAACTTCATAGCTAAACCCGATTCTTGAGAGACTCGAGGATTGAGTTGGTGCTTTCGCCAGATTGTGCTAGCAAAGTAGGACCCGACACACGTTGCCCACTACTTCGAAGCCCACAATCGAGTATGGGCACCACACGTTCAGTTGGGATTTTAATAGTGAATGACGGATGGAGATTCACCACCGGCACAGTCTCGAAACATGGAACGGTCTCTCCAGCAACATGGCGGCAATGGTCTCTTTCGTCTGCCACTTCAATCAGAAATAACCCTGCCCTTCAAGAACACTGTGCTCTCTCTCTCTCTCTCCCCTCTCTCAAGATGGTTCATCTCCGGAGATCTCCAGACGAGAAAAAAAGCCCCACCACCTCCGTTCTGAAACCGAACATCACAGAATCATGTACTGCCTCAAAATCCCCCCAAAAAAGACACCTCCTTCATCAGAACACCGCCGTCCTTCATCCGAATGCCCTGTCTTCCAACGAAACAACACGGCTCCACTGGCGTCCGGCGGCTCCACCGAGCGGCTCGGCGGACGGGAGGGCTGGGACTGCCCGAGTCGGAGGACTGCGCGCGCAGCGTTCGCTTCTGCTCATCGATGGCCTTTTGGAGGTCCTCAAGGTGGTGGTTGGTGGGAGGTTTCGCCCGGTCACATGGGTGGTTGAGGAGGGTGATGGTGTCACGAAATGCCCGAATTCAATCGCTAAAAGCATCTGACAGCCCAAAACCTTCTGATGCCCACGAAAGAAAAAAGAACGATCAGCAGTAAGATTGTGAGGTGTTTTGATGGTGCGTCGGTGTTCCGCCGCCATTTTGGGACACCGCCATTTGAACACAAACGCTCATATTGTACACCTGGACTTCTTGGGTGCAATGTCGAATATGAACTCCATCAGTGACACCGCCCTTGCTGCTGTGCCTGACCCACCAACAAAGTTTGGTGGGAGAACTGGCAAACACATTGGTTGGAGTATCTGTGAACCTTGTTGTTCCAAGAGAACTATACAAGAACATGGTGTGTCTCAAAATGAGGCGGCACCCCCAATTTGTGGGTGTGTGGTGCACAAAAGACCTTTTTGATTGAGACTCTGGGACGCCCTGATCTACAGTTTAGGGCTCAGCAGAAAAAGGGGGCAAACACATCTGCATTCACCACGTCTGGGGTGGAGACGTTGGGATCCAAAGACCCCTAAGGCCCCAGTCGGGGCCCCTCCGCCCATCCAGTCGTCCTTCTCGGCATTGCGCCGCTGCTTCAAAGCCTTCCGCAGGTGTCCCACATCCTGCATGGAAAAATCGAGCCACGGGTGAATGCGAAGGGAACACGGGGGCATGGAGTTCCTGAGGCTTGGTAGCTAGCAACTTGCATGCAGTACATGTCTCACATATAGACCCTGCAACAAACGTCTTTCCAGTCGGGGCAAATATTGAGGCACTGTTCAAAGAATAAACAATGTTGGTGTCGATATGTTTATACATCTGCGTTGTTTTGCTACTTCTACGTCCTTCATGTTTTTCTGTTGCGAACTTGCTGCATCTTTCTGCGTCGTTTTCCGGCGAGGCGGGCAAAAACATCTATTCAGGGATATTCAGGGTCCAGGCATGTGCTTGAGATTGCTTGAGTAAAGGAACATGATCTTCCAAGATAGCTTCAACAATCAGAAAAACGAGTCAACCGCCATACTTATATAGGCACAGTATGGTGCAGTATTTATATATATATATATACGTACATGTTACATGTGTCATTCAGGGAGTATGCGGAGTATGTGAGAGCCAAGGCCCCCCAAATTAACCAATTGGCAGGCTTCATCGGGTGCTGCATGCGATCGCGGCACCCGAACATGATCGTCCTCCTCCAAAACCCTTTTGGCCGCACTCATCTTCTGCTCTTCCTCTCTGAGCCTTGCTGTCAAGCATAGGCCGCGAAAACACGACGTGGAAGCCTATACCCCTTTTTTGGCGATTGGAGATGCGATTGGTAGAGCATCCTTGCAAATCGTGGCCCTGGATTTGTTTGTTCCGCTTTGGAAAGTCTTGCAAGGGATCATTCCATATATGGAGTGTCTGGCAATGGGGGCACCATTTCAAGGAGGGTCATGAGAGGTGCTTGCATTCGCCAAAGCAGCGAATGCAAGGCCTGCTAAACCCCGAATCATCCCGAGGCAAACTCTGAGATGCCAAGGAGCACACGACCCATGGGAAACTCTGAGATGCCAAGGCTGATGCCCTGCTTCAAAGAGCCTTTTTCTCAAAGCACTTGCTGCCAGGGTTTGCCTTTTGCGGGGGTTATGAACGTGAGAAGTCTGCCTTTCTCCGGAAGCTTCTAGCTTCTCTTGCAAGAACCTTTCGGTTGCCAAAAGGTCAGGGGTCCCTCAGCGGCCTTTTTTAAAGCCTCTGCACACATTGTAAAATACATTTCCTGTCCTCCATCTAAGGCCAGAAATGCAGCAGGCACTCAAAAATGTCAAACTGCTGTTCAGAATCATGATTCATGCTGACAAGATGTTGAGCAGTTCATGCCCTATATAGCTAAACTGTACCTAGACACGATGTGCATAACACCAATTTGTATGCACGATTTCAGCACTGGCGCCTAGTACTTGGACCATCTTCGACCATCCTGTTGGGGTGTCCGATGAAGTCTGAGGTACAAGCGCAAGACCCCAGTACTCTGAGTGCTGTGTACAAAAAAAACTCCAAAGGGTGGCTCCGCGTTCGGATGGTCAAGTTGAGTTCAGTTCCATGGGAGTAGCGGTTCATCTGAGGAGCTGTTCATTCATCCGGCGCAGCTCTTCTTCCATCTCCTGAGCATTTTGGAGCTTCAAGCGAAGAGCTTGTCCATCCTTAGTGGAAGAATCCCCAAAGTCAAATGGCTTGCACCCATGAAGTCCTACCGGTAGAATGACAGAAACAAATGGATCCAAGGTCATTGAACGTAGACCGTGGTGCTTGGGTTTCGATGAACGAAGACCAAGGGAGATCTGATAAGAAAACGTCTCTTGCATCTGACTGTGGGTTGTGAGAGCCAGTAAGGCACCTGTTACTACTAGCGTGGCACTTGTTTCTAGTAGCTTCTTGTTATTACTAGTAAGGCACTTGTTACTAGAAGCGATGCACTTGTTTCTACTAGCGTGGCACTTGTTATTTTAGCTAACAACTATATCTACCAGGATCATCCTGTCTGGGTGTCCTGGCGTTCGACTACCCTGCCCTACTTGCAGGTCTCCAGACAGGGCACTCAGACAGGAAGTGCTAGGTATAGAGTGTTGATCATATCGGCATGCAGTTAACGCATATCAATGCAAACATCATCTTCACACCAAAGTTGGGGTGCTCTCCCACATTCCACCCGCTCATTGACCTCTCACCCCAGGATGTGTGAATTCAACTACGTCCCTTTGCCCTCCCCGCCGCTGAACCCCCGGCGTCACGCTCCAAGGTACATACTCCGCGCTGCGTAGTTGCTCTTCCAGGCGCGAGCGCTCCTCTGACCAGGACCGCTCCTGACCTCCAAAAGATGTTGGTGCCGCATTGTCCGCGTTGTTTGGAGTCCAAAGCTACAGCATGAAAAAGGGCACCGACATCTTGAAAAAATCCTGGAATGTCTTAATTCCCGGATTGTTTTCGCGGGTAGAACGCCCAAACGAAGACAGACAGCAAACACAAAATCACGATCAGAATAATGACATGTCGACCAACAACTATTACAACCAAGTTAAAACTAATTGCACAATGCACATCATAAAACACCTGGCATACAAACAACAACATGCCTTTCTGATGCAAGTTCAGTGGTCTCAGTGGCAAACACGACTCAAGAAGAGCCTTAGCAAAACATGTAACAAATGTTTATCAACATGTAACAACAGCACCAGTCTTAGAAAAAACGTCACCCGGCTCCACATGGCAAACAGATTTGTGTTCTTTCTGTCTGTTGTCTGTCGTTCTCGTTTCCCTCTTCTGATTCATGATTCATGCCGCCCCTACACGCTGGGCGCATCGTGATTTCATGCCCACCTTTCCAGCGAGCTTTCTCCCGCTCCAGTTCCTGTAATGAGATCTTCAAGCGACGGTTCTCATCGGCAAGCTGATCAATCCTGGGTTCGCTCCGGAGTGGAGATCGGTCACAAAGTCATCCGGCCGCTTCTTTGGACCCCTTCAAGAAGTGACCTTCAAACGTGAAGGTCATACACTCGGGATGGCATGAACATGGGACCTGGCATGGACCAGACTGGAAGACGATGTTCTTCGATGCCGCGATGCCCCCGTCCGGCCAGAAACACGGTCCGTGACGACCGCAGAAGCGCTCCCGGTGTGAAGCAAAGGAACCGGGAAGAGGTGACATACTGTTAGAGAATTGTGTTTTTTGGAGGTTGGGAACTTGAATGCGAAGCAACACCTTTGAGGGATGACTTTGGCGATGAAAAACGGTGCTGTACTCATGTTGGCACTCGCAGCACTACATCTGGTTGATTCTTGTTGATTCCGGGTCCTTGTTGGCATGAACAGGCAGGTCTCTCCAAAATGCCACCATCCACGACACCACAAAAGGGTCAAAAAGTATCAAACAGTGGCACCGACACATCAAACAAAACAGTGCACCAACACGTCATGAGCATTGCCGCCCTGATCAAAGGCCCAGACACGACTAATGGGACTGCCATATGCGCCGCCCCAGAAAGACCCCCAGTCCACCACCCCTGGCCTGATCGGCATATATGACATACATGGAGTGTCTGGGATATCATCACAGAAGCTCCTAGACAATATGGCTTCGACTGCGGGTATTGCCCAACGCGACTTCATTGCTCTGTGCTAGTTAGCGGCCCTGTATGCATGCTTGTGCATGCAAATGGGGTAATGAACAACAAACTCCATGGTAAAGACCAATCACTTCTCATCCTCTACATATTGTCTGCGCAGGTTGCCTCATTCTTCAGTAACTTCTCATGTCCTAAGCCCCGCTAAGAAGACCGGTCATGTCAAGGAACCAAGTCGTACCCAGATGGGCCGAGCGCTGTCGGATCTTGGCATTTCAACCAACCAACTGTCTGACATCGTTCCTCCCCGCCCTCCTCACGTGACACGGGAGCATCGTCCCAAGGATCTCTTGCTGCTTCTGCGCCATCACGCGGCCCTTGAGATTCGATAAGGAGTCCCTCAGCCTCCAAGAAAGGACGGACACCCAACTGGCGATGCGGACAGCACCGAAGAATGGTCAGGGCAAAAGGACGTTTGAAGCTACACCGTGGAAAACTAACATGGACCCTGAAAACCACTGGTTTGTAGAGGAAACAGCCTTACCGGGTCCCATTCTCAGGGTCCATGTTAGTTTTCGGGAGTGTATTCCTTTCTGGCCAAAATGATTTCTTATCTTGATAGAAGCTGCGCCAGTAGCCGAGCAAATCAATGTGCTTGCTCGTCATCGCGCCCGCGATGTGAATGATACAATCTTGCAAAGCGTTTCTTCTGTTGTTTTTTGGGGTGTGTCAAGGGGTTTCACGCAATGAAGCCATATCCGAAAAAGGGTGGGATAGGCGGGATCCGTTGATTTGTTGTGTTTTTTCGTCCTTCACGTTTTTAATTTTGTGAGGCCAGTGCTGCCTATTTGTTCCAGTGGATGTTGATCACTTCAATACCAGCACAAACTCCCTTCCTTACCGCACAACAAGTGAAACATAAACAACCTTGTCGAGCAAGTGGCTGATAACCACTTGCAAAACCAGCAAGGCAGTTTTCTTCAGCGGGTTCCTTGAGTTATCAGCTAAGACCTCGCTTAGATTCGAAAACAAGGGACCCCCCTCAGCAGCTCTCTCCTGCACAAATTCCATATGTCTCCATTCCATCGTTCGGCTTTCATGGTGAGGCAAGGGGCTCTGCTTCCACCCTTTCTCGCTCTTGCAGGGCCTTTCCTTAGGCTCTCAAACATGTGCAGAAGTGTACTTCTGGTCTTCAGGTCCCCCCAAGAAACCACTCTGTCCCTTAGTAACATGTTGGTCAGTGGGGTTCAACGTTTTGATCCATACGATCAGCTCGCTTCACCACCCCCAAAAAACGGTCAGGTCGGACCAGGATCTTCAACCACTAAGGGATGGACCCCAAGCTGGGAAGAAGGACGAATCATCATGTGCCAGCGTAGACCCCAAACAGTTTCATCATATGTTGGGCGCAACTGCATGAATTCTGATGTTAGCGGTGACGTTGGCATTTTTTAAAATATTCCTGTAGCCTCCAGCTGTTTGGGAATGGCATGTCAAACAATGAACACAATATTAAAATCTTCCTGATTCGCGGGTCATCGAGGGGGTATAGTCATGTGGCCAAAGGGAAGGACAAAAGGAGCACAAGCTTCGCAAGCGTGAGGAGGACCAGAGGAGGACACAGGGTTTCCAGAGCGTGGCCGGACAGGAGCAGAAGGACAACAGCAGGACAACTGGAGGACGACACCCGGATAGAGGGTTCAGGGGCGCGGCTTGAGACTGTGGTGTCTTTCCTAAGAGAGAACCCCAACAGTAAACGGTTTGGGGAACTTTAGTCAACCTGCCAACAAAGACCCTAACGAAGATCAACATAATGATATAGTATAATATTACTATATATTACTATGAAGTAATATATATATATACATATGAAAGTGCTTTAAGAACATAACGGCTCAAGTTACATAGCCCCCCACTTGTTTATCATGTTGGCGGATTCTTGGACTCCTGCCTGCAGGTGATACTGAAGGTCTCTAGAATCAAAGCAATGCTTTTGCTGTGTCATATTGTAGAATTTTACCATTGATGTATCCTCTAAGATTATCCTCCTCTCCAGAGGGCTCCAAATCCCTTCTGAGAAGGTGTTGGGGGTGGGTTTTGAGAGTCCAAATACCTTCTGAGGAGGAGCCCTTGGGGTCTCATCTATAGCTCTCCATGATTCTACCAGATCTGCGCCCAGCGTCGCAAATGCCGCTTCTCCTCCTCCGCTCGTTCCACGCTCTCGGTCAGCCTTCGGACGTCTGCCTCTAGTCTCCTTGGTGGTCAAAATAAGGGAAGAATCAAGGTCACATATCTAACATGTGGATCAATTCACAAATGCAAAAGCAACGTCTGCAATGTTGGATTCATCTTTGGAAAACATATGATGGACATTGATGGACACTCCAAACCACCAGTGCTTTTGGCGAACAAGCAAGATTTTCCTCCTGTCATCTTTTGTGACAACACGCTGCTCCAAAGCGCTCACTTTCTTTCACTTCGAGTTTCGGAAAGACATTTTCCGGGTTCTTTGGTCATCTATAATCAAATATTGTAAATCCCCTGAGGCTTGACCACCCTGGTTTGCAAGCCCAAAGATCAGTTGCTGACAGGCAAGGTTGTTGACTTAACTCACCTCATCCAAGATCGTTGTCTTTTGGTCTACTTGTGTGGCCCAGTGACCGAGGATCGTTCCACAAATAAGCTTTCGAATGCTTTTGACATGAACAAGGATGGACACCAACTCAGCCCCAGTCACAGCTTTTTGCTTGCACAGGAAATTTGTTGGGTCACCTTCCGACCTTCCTCTCACGTTCAAAAAGAAAGGGACAACATGGAACAACCAATCCCTAACTTATCATGTGAATTGAAATCTTGGTGTTGTATAACTGTATGATTATCTAAATACATATATATATATATAAATCTTGCAAACAATGAACGTTTGATAACGTTTGTTTACATCATTGCCCGATATTGCCCAGCTGCTGCAGCTCTTTCTGCTTTTGCAGCAGCTCTTGTCTCTTCTCGGTCTCCATCCTTTCCCGCAGCTGCTTTTCCTCGATGGACGTCACCCGTCAGTTCTTGACCCCCGTAGGCGGTTGGACGTTCGATTCCGGTGGGTGGATGGGCTAACATATATAATTGATAATGCTTTCAAAGCACCCTCTAAGATGTCTTTTTGAGACGGGGCGTCACCTTGTGCCATCTACTCTCAATCTACGAAGATTGGTCAGATTAGCCAAGATCGAGGCGTGGTGACAACCACAGTGTTCAGAAAACACCTCTGGGTCTGTCTACCTGGCTCCCGGAGTGGGGCATTGGTTTATTGCAACAAGTCCAAAGTGATACCCCCAAATATAGAAACGGTTTCCAACACATTTTTCAGTGGGGATCTACTTTTTGTTACTTTTCTATCTATTTGGCGGTCTCAAACGGAGGACCGGTCTCGCCTTAAGCTCGGCGCTCCGTAGGCTTTCCATCTGCAAGTCCCTGAGCCTCAAAGATGCGCAGCTGCACAGCTGGCAGACTTCCCACGGTTCCCGGACGCTGAACCCGTCCCGACCTGAGTCAACCTGGACCCAAATTCTACGGCAAAAACCACAAGAACCCAAAGAAACCGTCAGTGCTGCATAGATCAGCAACAAGGACATGGTCGCTATAAAGACATCAGAACAATGGACGATGACTGAATAACACATTATGTAATCAGAACAAGGGAATGGTCACTCAAAGACTTGCTCTGCATTATCAGCTGGCCTATAAGCCCATCACTGCCGACGACTTAACAAGTGCTTCGAACAAAATATGTTGTCCCTTTAAAGAGAACCCACTTTAGAAATGCAATTGGACATCATTTCTGCCTCTTGCAGGTTTACTGTGTAGATCCAAAGAAAGGCCCTGCTACTGTCACCCAGTGACGAATGAGCCGCTACTTCGTGCCAGGCAGCTCAGCTTCAACCCGGTCCCGCTCAGTCTGGAGACGTGCGACCTCCTCCTGCTCCATTTGAAGCCTCGTGTGACGCGGAAGGAAGTTCTCAGTGAGAAGGTGGAAGCCGGAAGCCTGCGAAGCTTACGATCTCTGTCAGGTGGAGCTTGCCACCAGGCAAAAAAAAACTGTCTTGGAGCCTTCCTTCCTTTCTTCTGAACATTTCCCCGCGATGAACCACTCGCTTACCTGGCACCACCGCATACCACCGCCAGCCCAGTCACCGACGGCTCTTGTCCTGCTCGCTTTGTTCCAGAAGGCTCAAAGCCTGGCGAGTCGTCCAGCAGGACGGAAGGCGACCTGCACCTTCGCTACGACGGGTCACTGGGACAGCCCGGCAGGCAGCATGGATTGACCAGATTTCTGGTGGTCTCTTGGGCAGGATCCGAGTCGATGATCGCCAACAAGAGCGATGCTCACGAACAACTATGGCAAAAACCACCCCCCAAACATTAGCAGATCATTTGTCTATATCATATCCTCATAATCCTCATATATCATTATCCAACGCAAAAATCCAAACATCAACTCTGGCTATCTCTGGCAGACGTTTCTAGACTCAAACAATAAACATCCGACCGTTTGTCAACGAATGCTGTTACGAAACTTCATGCGTCTCGAGTTGGTCCCAAACCAGATCACCCTCATTTGGGTGATTGGCTGATCTTTTCACAAACCCAAATGACACACGTCCCACACACCTACCTTGTACCCCCGGGGGAACAACCACCCCATTGCATTCAAGCACCCCATCACCGACTCCCGAGAGTCGGAGGCCTCCTTCAGTCGGAGAGTCTCTTTGGACTCGCTCCTGGGATGGGCGACTCGAGGCAGGCGCTTCGGGTGGAGGCTCCGGTGGCTCCAGTTCGGAGTCGAGGATGGCCACCAAGCTGTGGGTTAAGAAAGCTGCGTGTTTTTCCGCATCGGCGAAACGGCTGGAAAGGATTGGCCATGGATTGGCCTTGGAAGGCCAAAAGGTTGTTATTCCCCATGGGGTTTCCGTTGTCTCCTCTGCTGGCGCGCTTTCTCAGCCTCGGCCCGATCGTGCTCCGCTCGGAGGCGTGCCAGCTCCTCACAAGCCAGAGGGTCCCGTCTTCGATTCAAACTGAGCCTGACTGACATAGGAACATGACATCGGATCGGAAAAGAAAGACCATCGGAAGTTGAACCCGCATGCTGAATGTAGCAATCTCAGCCCAGATCGTGCCTTCTGAGCCATCTCCTCCTGCCTTCCCTTCTCATCCAAACTCCGTCGGCAAAGCTCTAAGTCTTCCTACGACGGGTCGAGGGCCACAAAACATCCAAAAAACTGGGATAAAGTTGAAGTGATCAAGGATCAAACAGGGATTCCCTGAGAAGTTGCAGATCTGCAGGCTACACATGGCCACGTTTCCTCACGTCTATGCTTCTTGACCACATGACCATCTTTGCCTGAAGTCCATTGCAAATCTCCCGCATCCGCTCCTCAGTTGCAGTTGATTCAAATTAAGTGGCATGTATTTTGGGTTTCTGAGTGAGGAATCCACGACCATCAACGACCCTTGGAGTGTCACGCTGTTCTTGAATAAATGGACTCGCCACATGCGACATCTGGCGGAAAACAAGGACCTCCTGAGTTTCACTAATTCGCCTACAAACAACTACTATACTCTACCGCAATACAAAATCTATACAGCCTGCCCCTGTCAGGTCAAACAACTATGTGTAGAAGGGGGTAGCTGCAGGGATCCAGGAACCTCATGGAACCTCGATCATCCCAAACATCGCCGTGCTTGGAGTTGACGGCTGGCTCAGTTCCAAAACTGTGGAACAGGTGACCTAAACTCAAATCGATCAGGCTCACCCGCCTGCATCAACAAACGGCTGCATCTTTGAAAAGAATGTCCACCAAGATTAACTGGCCTCTTTTTCCACCAAGGGTTGCTGAGGGATTTTAGGAGGAGAGTAGGCCAGCGCAGCTCCTGTGTCATGGTGTAGAGTTTACGAGCAAAAACGGCCTCGTCCATTCCAAACAACAGGTGCCTGGTGGATCTTGATCCGAGTCACTAGCTCTTGTGCATGGGATCCTTAGTGCGCCAATCTGATCAACAACGCACCCTCTGAGTCACAACTTGAGTTTATGGCATCTATGGATCCCTCATGGCCACCTGTTCCACCAGGCATCAGGTGTCCCAGTGCATGGGCGAGTAGTGATCCCATCCGCCCCATTGGTTCTTCCACGGCCCTTTTCCCTTATATGAAGGGCCGTTCTGCAAGGTCCTCCTGCTCCAAGTGGAACGCTTTTGAGGTTTCTCTCCCATCGAAGGATGTTCAAAACCACTCGTCTCTCAACAATGTTATAGATTCAGTGTGATGAACAACCCCAGATTTTTGTAAACTTTCACCCGCAAAACACTGTTTAAATGGAAGTGCCACCTTGCAACACATGCCTTGAAATAGGTGTGGACTGTGGACATTTCCATGTTGCACCCGGGCATCTTCGTCTGATGCAAAGCCTCCTTTTTGAACATCCATGCATGCAGCGGCGTTTCCACCAAATCTCAGAGTAGTGATCATAATTCGGATTCCCTTGGATATAGATCCAAATTTACCAGCCACATTGACATTGCCATATGGCCTCAACACCAAAAAAGTCAGGACTAGGGCTATGGGTGTTGCACGTTCGGGACTCCATTTTCACTGCTCACATTTGATTTTTTACATTCTCACCGTATTCACACCCTTGTCATTGGCCTGATGGTCTGAATGTACCAAATGATGGCCAAAGGTCTCTTGCAATCCCAAGATGGTCGACCGCCGTGACTTCCAAAGTCTGCCAACCTAAAAGGGTTCCACAACGGTCCCGATGATTTCCACACTGATAGGACTACTCAAAAGGTTGCTTTCCAACTCACCAGGATGAGATGGCTTTACCACCGGTGCGTCCCAGGAAGAATGGGTTTCCGGGACTTGCTACATCCAATCCACTTGCATGGCTGGATGAAACAATAATCCTGGACGGCGTGTCAAGCCGAGACTCTTTTCGCTTCCAGTTCCAAGGCTTCCAGCCTCACCTGCCAATTGCACACATCTGTTTCTTGACGGACCAAATGCATGATTGAACAATTGGATCTCGGTATACATATATATATATACATCCCGCTGGTACCTAGGATTTTGGCACAAAGCGTTACACCATCGACCTCCCTCTTGTTTCTGAGCCACGGTGCCTAACGCAACAAAACTTTTAGAGACAGCAAAAAATAACGGGCATTAAAACACAATCTACAGCAGCAAGCGTCAGCAGAAAGCACCATTCACAGCAGGGCACCAGTAGCAAAGTTTCATTGCTTCCAAGATCGATTTAATGTTCTCGTCCGGCTTCTTGGCCTCAAGCAATGGGCGAAAATCGGGCTCCAAGTCAGCATACCACGTGAGCCCACCCAAATCCTACAGTACAACAATACGGGCGCGAAAAAGGACAATAAGAGACAACATGCAGAGCAACCAAACAAAACCCTTTATAGCAACAACGCAAGCATCGTAGGCAACTCGACAGAGCATCAACTTCAAGAAGACGTCGATGATGTGGTCCGCGGGTTGCGCCAACCGGATGTCGGGCATCTTTCTGAGTGTGCTAGAGGTTTGCTGGAACTTTCAACAGTTCTGGCACCAGACTATCACCCCAAAATAACAAGGATACTTAGCTTGGAAACCTCACTGGAGCAGCGCGCAACCAATCGCAGCAAGCAATCTCAGGGCAAGTTGAAACAGGAGCAAGGCAGACACCAAAAACGCTCACCAAAACGTGACGATCTTCTGGGCGCTTGACGTTTCTACACCTTAGAATGTTAAAATACCACCCTTAGTCTATAGGGCCTCAAAGCAAAGCAAAGCACCTCGGTCTGGACATTCTTCATCCGTTTAGGATTAACTCGCAATTCCGAGCCACAGCCTGGGCCCAAATACTTTCAGCCGGGTACTGGGTTGGCAGCGGTATTCCTTCTTCGGCCGCTCAGTGCAGGCTGAGCATCCAGCCACACAGCCAACATCCAGCCTGGGCGCTGGGTGCCAGGTTTTGCCAGTATATAATCCTTCAGCCACCCTCATTTGCCAACCACCAAATATGGTCGGCGCCATCTGCGGACACATCGTCATACAGGTGTCTGCAAAAATATATCTATTTATGTCCCATGTATAGTATTGAACATTATTGAACCATATCACCAGTTAAAGCTGTCAGTGCATGTACCTCGGATGTCCCAAATAAACAGTTCTGCCATTTGCACAACAGCTTGACTTGGTGGGGTCCGTTCTCAACCTTTTCCAACATGAAAAAATCCAAATATGTCGCATTAACAGGTTTGGCAAGCTGAAGTCGCTGGCAAGTCTGAAAGTCTGAAATAGTCATGCGCGCTGGGCGACCAATGCGTTGAGTCTCCACACCACGAGCGAAGGCTGGGCCTTCCCAAAACTGGTTGAACATCTCGGTCACGGTGAGCCTCCAGCCAGAGCGTTCCTAGAATTTAAGCCATGTTGGGGGGTCAAGCATCTTTAAGTGGCGAAAACGAAGGCCAAATACAGTAGCACGGGCTACTGTTTTGGAAGAAGAAGGAGCAAAAACCCAAGACGATATCACGGGATACCGTAAGGGAGAGAGGTAACAGGGCCACCAAGACGCAAGAACTTTCAACTATCTACGAGATAGGGTTCAGACAAACTACGCAGGCAATCTCTTCTCTTTAAGAGATAACCATGAGCCACCTGCCCATCTATTAGATGGGTTTGAACCGAAAACCTTGAGCCAAAGGGTACGGACTGCCTCCAAACTTTACATGGATTGGACCTGCGGCCTGTGAACGTTGTCAGCTTGTTGATCTCTCATGTACAGAAGTTACTGAGATTGTGGGTTCTGCCTTCGCACACTGTAAACACTTGCAACACCTACGGCTTCCACACAAACTTCGACTAATCGAGCAGGAAGCTTTTCTCAAGTGCACCTCGTTGAAAGAGGTCAGTGTTCCACACGCTGCTATATATTGCCAGACGTGCGTTCGCCGGCTGCACGCAGCTCTGCCAATTTCAAAGAGTGGGGAAAAGCGTGACCTGGAGGGGCACATACTCCAGGGCTAATGCGTTCCTCAAGTGTGACAATCTTGACATGCCAAAGTGGGTTCGTCTGTTGCCACTTAATCGGAAAGATGAGGACAAATGGGCAGATGACTCCTACGCAGTCTTAAATTAGTGGTGAGTGTCTGGAGATGCATGCTGCCGAGCCCTCCAGCTGGCACCCGTGTGCTGGCCCTGACCATGTTAGAGGCCACCTCTCTAGAGCACACTTTGCTATCACGATAGCGATTCAGTACCTCCACTAGATGGCTGCCCATCAAAGCACTGTTGTACACCTTTTTGGAATGTGCCCGTGACCAGGACCAAGACAACCACAGGACCAACAGGAAAGCTCTGCCACAAACGGCCACTTACTGTGGCATCTACCTGACATTGCCCTGCCCTACTGCTGGGGGAAGTAAATTAGCCGCAGAGAATTTGAGGGTTTTGGAGGCCAGATTCAGCTTCTGCAGTCCTTCTTCTTTTCTGCAAATGAAGCTTCAAACATGGCTCATCGGAGGGTGAATAATAGATACTATCAAGACACAAGGGTGTGTCAGCTACTTTTTTGGGCAACTCTGATGGAGGAGGTTGGAGTTCCTTGAAAACAAAAGCCGGTGCATAGAGGTTCTACATAGTTGGAAATCAGCCTCGTCTGAGATCCACCTGTAGGCCTTGATCGGCGACTTGAGGTTCTACATCCAATCGTTTGGCAAAACATCGTCATAAAGGTGTGTGTGTATATATATATATGTGTGTGTGTTTGAATACTATATATATCCAATATTTTTCTGTTTGATTCAAGCTGTTGTGCACATGGCTGAAGCGTTTGTCTGGGACAGCTCTGGTGATAATATGGTTCTTTTCATGACTATACGATCAAACCGAAAAAGTACAAACACCTTTTACGACGACGTGCCCGAAGATGGAGTGGATCTTTAGATGAGTCTTGCTGCGTCGGTGAAGCAGCCCCCTGTCTGGCAAACCACCCCCAGCCTTCAGGGATTGGAAGTATATGCAGGACACTATAAAGAAGCTGGCCGAACTCCAAGGGCAAAGGCAAAGCTTTCAAAGTTGGAAACTGGTTCATGCAAAAGGGATCCTGGTTGAGCCATAGGGGAAAAGGTGCTAGAGGGAAAAGGTGCGACTTGCAAATTCAAAGCTTCAAATTAGCAAGCTCCCGAGTTCCACGTCAAGGACGGTATCCTTTCATACGTTCAGAATCGGTCACGTCCGCCGGGGGTCCGCTGCGGGTCCGGCAGATCAGCGCGATAAGCGATGCGTTGGCCCAAAATGACTTTATACTCTTTCAAGATGAAACTGTTGCAGGTCAGAATCACAACGTCGGCCCGTCTCCTCACAGATTATTCAGATGCGCATGCTGCGACAGATGGCTCGTTTCCGGCACACGAGCTTTTACCAAAGTCTCTTTGGCTTGTGGCACCCTTCCTTCAGGATCTCGATGTGGCTGCGCTTGACCATGGGAAAAGGGAATGACAAGTGCAGCGGCACCCAGAGGCACAGCAGTTGCAAATAGGTAGCGGACTACCGGCCTGAGCCAAAATCAACATGTGTCTCTCCAATTGATGGCATGTGATCATATTCATCATCCATATTCTGGTTCACACCTGCGAGTTGTCCGGGTTTATGATGCGAGTGTTTTTCTTGGGCAGTGGCGATGGCGTGTCCAAATCGACCGCCCCGCAAACCCATTATGATGCCAAGTGTGCAAATTTGAGGGCAGGCTCCTGCTTGATGGGAGTTCGGGTATAAAACCAACCTGAGGATGTACTGCCAACCATGCGTAGTCCTGTTGCTCCACTTTCATGAAACCGGGGCAGGGGTAGGGTAGAGCAGTAGGTGGCTTGGGTAGCCGCGCTTTATGGTGGATCGAAAGTGCACTAAAGGTTTGACGAAGGACTCTATTTGATGCAGCCCGTTCGAGCTGAGGTCATTACCTTTAATATTTTTGTGCGCCAACCTTGGCACTCAAATTATCAAGGGTTTGAGCATTTATGGAATCCTGCGTCAACGTGTTTTATGGAATCCTTGTGCTGACGTTGCAGGGGCTCATGAATGGCAAGCATCCTGGCTTAATGGATTCCTGGTTGAGGGGTGTCCTTCGGAAGATTCATTAGTTCATTATATGTTGGATTGTTGAGCAATCTGATGTCGGACCTTTTTTCTGCCAAGTCGTCGTCTAGCCGGGGCACGTGAAAGTACAGCCGCATGTGGAGTGCCGACGTGATTCCTCAGTATGTTTCCCGTACGTTTATCGGGCCGTGCTTGTATTGTATTTGTGTGGCGTATAGCTGTTTGGTTGTTTCTGTGTTGGTTGCTTTATGCAAATATAGTATTGCCACCTGCTACGCCTGCTCAAGAGTCGTGTATTCGTGTGATAGTAAGGAATAGGTATGAATAGATATGCAATGATATGAATAGTATCTAATCCTTCACCTACACGTCTCCATATACCTCCACAATCCTCCACATTCATTAGAAAGATCGAATTATCAAACACTTGAGGTTATTAATGGTTATTGTGGTTCTCTCATAATATCTCATGATAATCCATGATATTATGATATATCCTTGTTCTTCCTTGTTTTGCGCTGTTTTCATCAACTGCTTGGGATGGGAGCCCTCCAAAGAATCTTGGAGCATCTTGGAGCACTTGAGACAAAACATGTTCTCTTTGTTGTTTTTCTCTCTCTCTCTCTCTCTCTTTCCCTCTCTGCGTCCGCATGTGTCCGCTTTGTGTTTGGATACATGGGTTGGTCATGGTTGGTCCACAATGGTCCCTATATCGGTTGTTTCCAATCTTGAAGGTGGCCCTGAGCAATTAAGTAGATAATTTTGCCTTATACATTCTGATACTCACATGGCCCTGATCCTCCATGAGCCCCCACGCCAAGCCCAACCAAGAAACCCAACCACCTTCAACCATCTTCAACCACTAAAACAA